CTCGGCAAGGTGTTGTTAGCTTTTCTCGGCATTTCATCAACTTCTATCTCTTCTGGTTCTAGTGAGTCTGATTATTAGTCTAATGTTGGGGCTTTCGAGGATGTTGAGGTTGAGGAAGACGAGGTTGACGAGGTCGTGGTTGGTCCCTCAAGGGTAGAAGCCAAGCTTCCTTTGTGGGCTGGTCGCCAGTTTGGAACCACGCATTGTGTGTTGAACCTCGAGGACATGGCTCAGATCTGAGCTATGTACGACATCCTTGAGGAATTCCGAATGAGGTGCCCGCAGCGCAGTGAGATGACAATCGATGCTCGGCCTGAGAAAATTTGTGTGTACGAGAAGAGTTTAGAAGTCGGTCTGAGGTTTCCTATGAGCGAAGGGGTTGCCGAGGTACTTGCATGATACCGAGTACTGCCAGTGTAGCTGATGCCGAACTCCTTTAGGCTTTTGGTCGGACTTCTGTCTTACTACGCCATTCGTGATATCGAGTTGGCCCTGGTATGGTAAGCTTCCTTCTTCAACTTAAACATCACCAGCATGGCTACTACTATTTCTCGACTAGGAAGAACATCAGAGCGCTAGTCAGGGCCCCCTCTTCTGTGAAGTACTGGAAGGAAACTATCTTCTTCGTGCACTATCCCAGGGACCTTCCCTTCTCGGCCGTGCTACAAAAGTGGAGAATGAGAGTGCCCCAACCTCAATGGTCTCACCAACTTGGAAGGAAAGGTCGGCTCTGAACATGATTCACGAGATAGACGAAGCTACGTATGCATAGGGTGGCTGGTCCATCCTTTTCATTGCTTTGTTTGCTCGTACTTTCTTTGCTTTTTTTTTATCTTGTACTCACTGTCGTGCTTTCGTGGTATAGGTGTAGAAATGGCAAGGGAGGAGGAAATCGTATGCTGGATGAAGAAGAACCGCCAAAGGCAGAACTAGGCTGGTGCACCACCGCAGGTCCATCCCGAAGTAGTTCCTCCTCCGAGGGCTTCTGAGAGGGCATCTCGTCACCAAAAAAGAGATCAGCGGTAGGGGAATGACAACGAGGAAATTGTGGTCATGGATCCCAGGGAAGCTCGCCAGGTTGCCTTCCCTTCGCGAGTTGAGGTGGGGAATAGCAGCTCTAGTATTCATGTGCCGCGTTGGACGGTCCTTTGCTGGGATGGGCTATAGACCCCCAGGGTTCCTGAGTAGCTGCTCCGTGGAATGATGACGTTCTACATCACCGAACAGGCTGGGAGCAACACCTTAGAGTGCTCACTTATTTTGGTAGCGGCTCAGGTAAGTTTCTACCTGCCTACGTTGTTTTAAGCATGTTTCCTCGTACTAACAATGCTTCTTGTGTCCATAGAATGCATGCTCAGCCATTGCTGTGGTTGATCGCCTTCGTGAGTTGCGACGATGGTACGAGAAGGAGCACTCCGAGTACCTATAGGTGAAGGCCCAACTGACCGAGCTTCAAGTGGCTGGGGAGCGATCCGCTGCACTGGAGAAGGAGGTGGCTGAGCTGAAGGCACGGTTAGCCGAGCAAATGGAGTTGGTCCGTGGCTTGAAGCACGAGATTACCGAGCAAAGGGCAAAGAGGGAACAGATGAAGCAAGAGGCCATCGAGGAGGCAGTGGTGCGGTACAAGGGTTCAGTGAAGCTTCGACAAGACATGGATCAATATGCTTTAGCTTCCTTCGAGGTTGGGTTCAACGTCTTTCGACGGAGAGCACTACGCCACTGTCCCGAGCTAGCCAATGTTACGCAGACTTGGGAGGTCTATGATGACAAAACACCCTAGGCATCAGATGAAGTTGTTGATGAGGAGGGCTAAGGCGGTGATGATGATGAAGATGGTGGTGATGAGGCTGCTAATCTCCCTTCCGCGGATTGAAATGCTGCAAGTTCCTTTATCTTTATCTTTTTTTTTTTTTTGTTCCTGTAATGGCTCAGTATGCCAAGCTTTCACTTGTTGTATTGGCTATATTAACTTAATGAAATTTTCTGGTTCTGAACTTGTGTGCAATCATTTTTTTCTTCTTTTTTTCTTTGGGTTCCTCGGCCTTGCCTTGGCCGAGGTTTGAGTTGGCCAAGATCTTCAACCTCCGAGTGGTGAAGCAGAAGTGTATTCAACGCTCTCATCTTTGGAAAGCTCAGTTTCTAGTGTCGGAAGCCTTTGGGGCCTTCGAGGGCTAGCCGTTACTCTACTATCTCTAAGCAACTTAGTCGATAAGTGAGCGGAGTTTGACTGACCATCCTCAGGCCTTGATGGGTAGGGGCGTTCTTCTCCGCTTTAGGCACACGCCGTGGGAAACCGAGTCAAGTTGGTCGACAATATGCTGTCGAGCTATGCATTGTGGGCTCAGCTGAGTTAGTGAGTCGTACTAAGCTACACATGTGTTGTGCGGTCATGTAGCACAGTCGTATAGCGCGGTCATGTAGCTCAGTTTTGTAGCGCAGTTGTGTAGCTCAATCGCATAGCTCGGTCATGTAGCTTGGTCGTGTAGCTCAATTGTGTAGCGCGATTGTGTAGCTCGATCGTGTAGTGCGGTGCTCGTGCAATGGGGTGTGTGTGTGTGTTGTGTGGTGCGTGGTGTGTCGGGCAATCAACACTTTTCTTGAACAAGGTGCTCTTTATTATCATCGAATCATTGATAGTACATCTGAAGGTTTCTTGTGTTCCAACTCCTCAATATTAGTTGGCCATCAAGGTCTTCGAGCTTGTAGGTGCCCTGACCAAGAACTTTGGTGACTCTATATGGCCCTTCCCAATTTGGCCCAAGCTTGCCTTCCCCGGGCACAAAGACTATGACTTTGCGGAGGACGATGTCACTTGCCATGAACTCACGTCTTCTGACTTTGGTGTCGTAGTATTTCGCCATCCTCTACTACTGTGCTACCATCATGACATGTGCTCGATCCCGAGCTTCCTCGATCACGTCTAACTCTACGCACAGGTCCTCGTCATTCTGGTCCTCATAGAAGAGCTCGGTCTAAAGGTTTGGAGAGCCAATCTCTACAAGTACCATAGCTTCGGCTCTGTTGGTCAGGTTGAAGGGTGTCTCTCCTGTGGCTGTCCACGAAGTAGTCCTGTATGCCCAGAGTATGCTCGGTAGTTCCTCAGCCCACCTCCCCTTGGCCTGGTCTAATCGAGTCTTCAGGTCATGCAATAAGGTTCGGATGGTTACCTTGGTCTGCCCATTGCTCTGGGGTCGGTGTACAACGGTGGTCCGATGATTGATCTTCAGGTCGGAGCAGAGGGCCTCAAACTTTTGGTCGGTGAGCTGTGTCTTGTTGTCTGTGATGAGAACGCACAGAGTACTGAATCGACAGACAATACTTTGCCAAAACAAGTTTTGGGCATTGCGCGTAGTAATGCGTGCCAGAATTCGACTTTCACCCATTTGGTGAAGTAATCCACTACCACCAGGAGGAACTTTTTCTGAGCAACCGTAGTGGGGAAGGGGTCGAGGATGTCCATCCCTCACTATGCGAATGGCCATGGGCTGGTGATCAACTTCAGAGGGACTGTAGGTTGAAGATGGAGATTGGAGTGTCGTTGATAACTGTCGCATTTCCGAACTAACTAGGCTGTGTCTTGCTTCATCGTCAGCCAGAAATAACCTTGCCGGAGTGCCTTGTGTGACAGGGTGCGTGCGTCGGGATGATCCCTATAGATACCTTCATGGATCTCCCAGAGGACGTAGTTTGCCTCTGATGGAGAGAGGCATTTCAGGTGGGGTAGAGTGTTTGAGCAGCGTTGAGTTGACCTTGGATAAGGTAGTACCAGGTTGATCTATGCTGGAGTCTCTTCACTTCTGCCTGATCTTCTGGAAGTGTACCTTCTAGGAGGTACTGTGTGATGGGGTCCATCCAGGATGGACCTTGCTGTTCCAGGAGGATGAGGAGAGATGTCGGTGAAATGCTCGGTTGGGCCAGCTTTTCCAACCGTGTTGTCTTGCCGAGGTCGGTTTTTGGAGAGCTAGCTAACTTGGATAGCACATCGGCTCGTATGTTCTCGGCTTGAGGAATCTGGTTGACTACTAGCTGATAAGCACTAAAGGCTTTTATTCTTCGAGCTCCCAGGTCTAAGGCGAGGTGTAGTCCGGCGATCAAGACCTCATACTTAACCTTGTTGTTGGATGCTTTAAACTCGAACCTAAGAGCATGCTCTAACACCATGTCTTCCGGGCCGATGAAAATGAGGCCTACCCCACTGCCTTGCTGATTTGATGAGCCATCCACATGTAGGGTCCATGGTTGCGGCGGTGGGGCAGGATCCTCGGCGATGAATGTGCACTCGGCAATGAAGTTGGCTAGGGACTGAGCTTTGATTGCGGGTTGGGGTTCGTATTTGATGTCAAACTCGCTTAGCTCTACGCTTTGATCAAGCGGCCTGATGCTTCCGACCTATGGAGGAGTTGTTTGAGCGGCTGCTCAGTGAGCACTCGAATACTGTGGACCTGAAAGTATGGCTTGAGCTTTCTGGCCGAGGTGACCAACGACAGTGCCATTTTTTCCAAGTTGGAGTACCGGGTTTCCACGCCACTAAGGACCTTTCTGGTGTAGTAGATCGGCCTTTGTACCCGACTTTCCTCCTTTACAAGATCTGATCTGACGACCTCATCCCTAGCCGAGAGGCAAAGCAATAATACATTCCCTGCACTCAGCTTGATGAGGAGAGGCAGCGAGCTCAGGCACCACTTCAGTTCTTAAAAGGACCGTTCATATTCCTCGATCCACTGGAAGTCCATCGGTTGCTTGAGGGCTTTGAAGAAGGGTAGACACCGGTCTACAGATTTGGACATGAATCTGCTAAGGGCGGCTACTATACCAGTGAGTCATTGTACATCATTGTGAGTTTGGGGTGATTGCATGTCGTGGATGGCCTATATGTTCTCTGGATTTGCCTCAATCCCCCTTTGTGTCACCATGAACCCCAGGAATTTTCCCGATCCAATCCCAAAAGCGCATTTGGTTGGGTTCAGCTTCATCTTATACTTCCTGAGGGTACCGAAGACTTATTTTAAGTCGGTAAGGTGGTGCTCGGCCTTTTTGCTCTTCACAACCATGTCGTCGACGTATGCTTCCACATTTTGATTGAGCTGATCCTTGAACACCTCATTTGCCAACCGTTGGTAAGTGGCATCGGTGTTCTTGAGGCCAAAGGGAATCACCTTGTAGCAATATAAGCCATAGTCAATGATGAAAGTTGTTTTCTCCTAGTCATCGGGGTGCATTCGAATCTGATTGTACCCTGAAAAGGCATCAATAAAGCTCAGGAGTTCATGGCCTACTGTTGCGTCAATGAGTTGGTCGAACCTCAGTAGAGGAAAGCTATTTTTGGGGCAGGCTTTGTTTATCAATGAAGTCGTTGCATATCCTCCACTTTCCATGGGCTTTCTCACCATTACCACGTTGGCCAGCCAGTCGGGGTATTTGACCTCCCAAATGAAGCCGGCGTTAAGCAACTTTTGCACTTCGTCTGTGATCACTTGTCATCGTTCTATTACGAAACTCCTCTTCTTCTGCTTGATAGGTCGGTAGTGGGGGTCGGCGTTCAGACAGTGCATAATGATTTCGGGGTTGATCCTCGACATATCTACCGCCGACTAGGCGAACACGTCGGCATGGTCCCTGAGCAGCTACACAAGCTCTTTCCAGAGGCGGTCATTTAGGAGAGAGCCGATCTAGACCATCCTCTCGGGGTCTTCTTCGTTGAGCGGCACCTGGATGAGATCTTCGACAGGTTGGCTGCATTGTGCTCACACCTCGTCCCTTCGATCATAAGCTTCGGCCATCAATGTTTCCGCAGCTAAGAATGGTCCTCAATAGGAGAACAGGTAACACTACCGCATAATTCTTTGGTCCCCACATGCTACCCCAATGCCATATGCGGTGGGGAACTTCATGGCGAGGTGGAATGTGGAGACCATAGCCTGCAGAGCATTAAGGGTCGGCCTAACGAGAATGGCGTTGTATGAAGAGGGGCAACACACTACAATGACGTCCACCATGGTCGTCACAGTAATGTCACCATGTCTGATTAGTAGGGAAGGATTACTTTCCTAGTGGGTAGGAGGGACTCCCCAGAGAAGCACATCAGGGGAGTGTTGATGGGGGTGGGACGCTCTTTGTCGATGCAGAGCTTCTCAAATGTGTCCTCAAAGAGTACATCAGTGGAGTTGCCTGTATCAACCAAAATCCGCCGTATCTCGAAGTGGCAACCTTGACTATGATTACCAAGCATCATCATGCGGGGTCTGAATCCACCGGTGGTCATCGTCGGTGAATGTAATAGATTGGTCGCGCTTCTTTTTGTGACCCGATTGTCGGTCTCGCACAATCATGCATACTTCTTGTGCCCTGAGCTACTCTCCCCTCCTACGGCGATTCCTCCTGATATGACATGGATCACACTAGCAAGAGGGGCTCTGGGAGGTGTTCGAGCATTCTCCGTGCGCTGTTTCTCCTTTGTCGACTTCTTGCTCTTGTCGACAAATCCACTAGGATATTCGCGCCTGATTAGGTCTTCGATGTGGTTACACAGGTCGAAGCAGTTCTCTATGTTGTTGCCATGATCTCTATGGAACTCGCAATACTTGTCGTGGTTCCTTTTGTTGCTTTGTGTTTTCATCTTCTCAAACCAACGAACGTAATTTTGGTCATGGATTTGCATCAAGACTTCAGACCGCAGCATATTGAGCTGCGTTGAGTTTCGATAGGTCGACGGGGGTGTCCGTGGTCTATCATCAGGTCGGTGGTCTTGCCTCTTATGGTCCCAGTCTGATCTTTCTGACTTCCGCTCCTTAGTATCTCTCCTTTTCTTGTCAGACCTTCCTTCCTTGTCCCACAGTTGTGTTTGCGCTTCTTCTGCATTGATGTACTTCTACACATGGCTCATCAGTGCAACCATGGTTTGCAGGAGGTTCTTAGAGATTGAGAAGTTGAATGGTGATGGGCGGAGGCGGTGTTGAATAGCGGTGATAGTCACGGACTTGTTCAAGTTTCTAACCTGTAGTGCCTCTTTGTTGAATCTCGCGAGGTAGTCCTAGTGGCTGGCCGAGGTCTTCCAATGCTTTTGACTTGCTATGAACTGTGCACGGAACTGAGTTTCCAGCTGCTCCCATGACACAATTGATTTTCCAGTAGCCCTCAGAAGATCTGTGCAACATTAACTGAGTCTTCAGTGCCTCAATGTAGTCAGCAGGATCAGTGCCATCTTGTGGGAGGTACCTCATCTACAATCTCTTGGGTGAAAGGTGGTTCCATGGCGGTTGGGGTAGCTGGTTCCGCGGGCTGATCTACAACTAGTGACGTGCTTCTCTGGCCTTGGCTGCACTCTCGCTCTTCCAAGCGTTGTCGGAGTTCCTGAATCTTGTTATCCCTATGGTCTGGATTGCGGTGTGCATTGCCATTTCCTTGGGGCGCGCGGCCAGTCTTTCACGGAGCATGACTCGGTGACGAAGATCATGTGAGGTGGCGTTCGTCTACCGAGTCTTTCCTTGGCGGGGATCCATGTGGTTTGGTGCATCCTGCGGTGAGAGTTGGCGGAGGGGGCCAACCTTTTTAATGTGTCTTGCTTTTCTTGGTTGGACCGCGCTATACCCTTTTCCGCACGGCGCACATTGGGGTACTCGAGGCAGGGATCATCCTTCGTGCGCGTCGGGGCATGAAGGGGACGGTCTTGTTGGGCAATACCGCTGATCCTAGGTTCTGCATCATTTCAAAGATCTTTTCAACCTTCTCTTGCATTGCACGGAACTGCACAGGATCAACCGTGGCTGGAGGGTATGGAATTTCTTGATGCGGAGGGTTGTGATGCCAAGACTCCCGAGATGGAGATCGGCCTGTTGATCATTCGGGCTGGTTCTTGGGCATCTTGATTGCTTTCTTGATTGTGTGATGAGGAAGGAAGGATTTTCTAGAAAGGCTTTTTGTGTGTTTCCCACAGACGGTGCCAATCTGATGTTGTTCAATCCGAGGTGGTGCACGAACTGAGGGGAGCAACCAGATAGTCCTTGCTGGTAGGGTGGGGCCGAGCTACAAGGATGAGGCCGCACTTCAAGACCTGTGATCAAGAAAGGAGAAATCAGAGGCCTGAGGAGTTATCCCTGGGTAATTGCACCGATGCCCAAGTCAGTAAGAGGCGGTATATGGTCGGGTCGAGCTCTAAGGATGCTGGTCCGAGCTAAGTAGTTGTACGGGTGTAAAAAGTTGGATCCCTTACCTTGAGCATAAAGTACCTTTTTATAGCCAAAGATCCATGTCCTGGTCGGATTGAGCTTTCGGGGTTGTCGGGATGGGGTTAGCTGCCGAGGTATTCGGGATAGAGCCCATTCCCCAATGGAGTCGTCTTCCTCTCACCTCTTTATCCACAATTGTGCTCATCTGTGTGACGTGTAGATAACATGGCAGAAAAGATAAGATGGGGGGCCACAATAACAGCGTAGCTCGACTGAGCTATGCCAACGTGGCCAGGCGATGACTAGGCGACCACGTGTCTCTCAAGACCAGCTCAACTATGACCCGTACACTTATCATTTAATTATAAATAATATTTTAATAGAAAGATTAAAAGTTTTCATTCTCAGTATATTTGTTTCGGTATTTCTTAGATTGTTTCTATAATTCTCTATGGGAGGAACAAGCAAACACTTAGGCTATGTTTGGTTTAAAGGAAAATGCAAGGAAAGGAGGGGAAAGGTGGGGAAACCTTTACAAACCCTGTATAGGTTTCCCTGTCTTTCCCTTCGTTTCCCTACCTTTTCCTTCAAACCGAACATAGTCTTATAGGGCGTTCTTTTTTTGGATTTTGAGAGGGGTAAAGAAAGTCAACGGGATTTTGGTTTCCATTGACCAAGAAATTAATGTTCTTTTTTCAGATTTATGTGGGGAGTAGGGAAACTTTCTTTTTATTTTTCTGGTACCCATCTCCTATGTGGGTAAATATCTTTTCCATCCGGGGGAAAGTTGTCAACACTTGAATAGGACAAAAATGTCCCTTTTAATAATGGATTTTTGTGGCTAAAACAGTCATTACCCTATTTACCTAGGAAAAAAAAGAACACGGGTAAATGTTTCCTTACCCAGGTAAATGCATTTACTTTTACCCGGGTAAGTAATTTAACGAAAAGCGAATGGGGCCTTGGCGTTTCAAGGCTTGGTCTGAGCTACCCCCACCCACCCACACTAGTTTATACACTCATCCATTAAGAAGGGCACAGTTGTAAAAATTGTTGGGACATTCTCTGTTTTTTTTTTGAGTTAGATGTGGTTGTATTTGGTATTATTGTTGTTTCTACAAGAAACGGTTGGAGTTTATCACTACAAAACTTTGAGAAATTGTCTTGTCATATCACATCTGCTAACCACTTTCACTGAAAAAAATATAGTCATTGGACTGAGTGTTCACGTAGAAACATCAAATTTGACTATACTAAAGAATGGGCAATGGTACCAAATGTTGTATTGATAACTCGAATCATTTGTCTAAAAACAAATACATTCTCGTAATATTTGTTTTGACTAACCTAACACTTAATAGATGGAAGTGGCAATGGTACCAAATACAATCATAGTTGATGAACTCATATGCGAAGAAGCATGGGAATTGGGAAGTGCCCATGGATGGGTTTTGTTTTGTTTTTTTTTTTTTTTTGAAAAAAGCCCATGGGAAGATCATTGAATTAAATCATTAGCCAATATAGGCTTTAAGAAGTCAGGAGGTAAAGACCACGTAATTGTTAGTGGTCGGTTGAAGGGTAGGTTAGTGTTGGGAATGATCCTTATGTTTTTACTTGTGTAAATCAATGAGATTTTAACAACAAATTGCAAATATACAGTAATGAAACAAACAATCAAACACAAGGCAAATAACAATAGTATACACCAAGATTTATGGGAAAAAACCCTAAATGTGAGGATAAAAACCACGGGACCAAAATCCAAATAATCCACTATCAACAATTAAAATGGGATACAATGTTTTTCTATCTAATCACAGCTAGATGATGAACATCAAGAAGGCACTTGGATTCTAACAACAAAGACATCAACAAAATGGTTAGCAAACAAGATGTTTCCCACCAAGAGTGAAAGTACATTAAAGAAGCAAGAAGAGATGCTGAAAAACAAATCTGTCTTCTTCGTTTCAGCCCTTGTAAATCTTTTTTCTTCTTCCCCAAAACCTTCTTCTCAAAACCCATTTCTTAAAAAATTATTAGAGTGAGCAACTAATAAGTGAGCTATCCCAATTCATTGGGTAGCAAAAGATATATTAACTTGTAAGACAAACCAAAAAATACAAAAGCCACTTTTCCTTGATTTTCCTTTTTATCTTTTTTAACTTTTTCTTCGTTTTGTCTTTATTACAATCCACCACTTGAAACCCAGACCCTGAATGAGAGCGAAGAGGGAAAGACAAGAGATTGTTCATCAGGTGAGAGAGGTTTCATTGTATTTTTTTTCTTATAATTAGTGCCTAAACTAGTGGAACTGCAGTTTCGTTAGTTTTCTCTTTTAATGTCCTCAGGCAACATGGCACTTTTTTATCGGAGTATGGACTTTTTTATTTTCCTTTTAACAAAAAAAAAAAAAAAAAACTTAATCTAAACGAGTTGACAAATGCCCCGGGAGCATCTCTCAATAACAAATACAGATGATGAAACATCATCAGGAGATGTTCTCAAAACAAGGTTGAGATGTGTTGTGGGACATTGTGGGACGCAAATCTTAACTCGTTGTCAGATCTTACTCATTTTCCTGAGTTTAATTTAATTCTTTTCAAATAAAAGATAAAAATAATTTTTTTTATTTTCAATGCCAATTTTTTATCAAAATAAAGATTAAGGTAAAAATTAAAAATTTTATTAGAGAATGTATATTAAATACCGTGATCAATGGGTAAACTTTATAAATTGAACATTTCTAATAGCCAAGCAATCGAAAAGAAAAAGASTGCAAGGGTCATTAGAATTATKGGCCAATCGCAATGCGCCRTGTCAGCTACATATAATCGRCCCAYTTTTGGRGTTTTAATAGAAGAGGAATCCATCATACCATTCTTGGAGTTTTAATGGATCAGAAAACTTTATTCCTTAATTTGAATGAATGCAATAAAATACAAAGTTTTTAATACATCTTCAGGCTTCAAAGATACATCTTTAAAAAATTAAAATACTAAAACAACCATATATACTAATATAAATTTTTTACACTTATGAATGAACTGTARCATCAAGAATTGTGGAGAAGAAGACGTTCTCTTATCGTCTTTCTGCA